GATTATATGTCTGAGTCTTTATTCTTCATATGTAATTTAAAAGCAAGCTTTTCTTTATAAAAACTTCAATTGAATTTAATAAAGTTAAAGGCATAGCCTTACTATTAATATTAAAAAAAAAAATAAATAAAATAATTTATATATTAATCTTATTATCAATTATCTAATTTTAATTTATTTTATTTTTAATTAATTTATTATTTTTTTTATTTTTTAAAGATTTCTTCAAAATATGGTGAAACTTTTATTACTATTTAAAAAATAATATATTGAATATGTGGAGCAAAATACTGTACTTTAAGTTTCATTTATCCTTATATAGAATTATTAAAAAAATTATTTGAATCTAACTATAAAAATAAAAAACTTATAATACATATCTCAATTTGATATATAGGCCACAAAGTGAAAGTAATAATGAAAAAATAGAAGACTCAGATAGTTCAACAAGTGAAGAAGATAAAATTCTATCTGGTAGTTCACATTAATATTAGCAATATGCTTATCACTAATTTAGACAAAAAATACAGTTAACTAAAAAAAAAGGAAGAAAATAAGGTAAAGAAAATACAAATAGCTCTTATAGATATAAAAAAAATACTAGAATAAAAAATTCTGAAAAGAATATAGATGATTTCAATAATGTTGAATATTTACCAGTTGCCAATACTACTAGTCTTCTTAAAAAAGTTCAGGCAACTAATTTCTTATCACTTAATAAGTTGTGATCAGCACAATTAGAATTGGTTCAAATTGTTATAATACTTGATTCTTGATTTAAAGATTTTAAATAGAATAATATAGGTAAAAAAAAGATGCATCATTTAAATTATTGCAAATTCAATATAATTTTGCAAAAGATTTTTAAACTGATGATAATTATTCTCAATTAGCTCAATAAACAACACCTATTCATGATTGTGCAGATGATAATGATGATGATTTTTTTTAAACATTAAAATATAAAAAATTAGGCAGTTTATTTTTAGCTAAGAAGAATGAAATTATATATTATATAAGATATCAGCAGATAGATGTTGATCAGAATCCTTTAGAATGATGAAATGCAAACAAAAATGAGTTTTCAGTTTTGTCACAACTTATATTAAAATATCTATCAATTTCTGTCCTGTCTGTACTCAGCAAGAGATTGTTCTTAGATGCAGATAATTACATTTCTGCAAAGCATACTCAACTATCTCCAGACTTGGTTAATCAGGTTTTGTTTTTAAAAAGAAACAGTGAGCATTTTAGTATATTCCAATCTGAGAAAATATAAAATTTAACTATTGCTTATTAGGTCTGTATATATAAAGTAGAAACATTTTAAAATGATATTATTCAAATATATAAAATATAAATAGTTTCAATTTTTAGTATAATGCTTAAAAAATTTTTTTTACTAATAAATTTTATATGAATATTTGTGACAAAAAGTATATACAATTCAGATTGTCATTTGATCAATAATAATAATATATATATTAATGAAGGCTTTCAATTTTCATCTTTTTATATATTATAAATAATAAAACTAAGAGCACCCTCAAAGAACTCCTTTAATGTATTTTAAGACAATGCTTAATTATTACATTTGATTGAAATAATGATTGTAGACCATTCTTGTTTTATTTATTATGCTTTTAACAAATCATAGCAAAAAAAATAACTATTCAATAAACTATATAACTCCTTCGACAATACTTTAACAAATAAATGCAACTTCAGCAACATTAAGTTCTTTAATTTCTTCTTTATAGACTTACAATTCAAAACTTTTTGTATTTTTAACTTCTAACAAAACTAACTTAAACAATAATGAAGTATTTGAATACAAAAAATTTTTTCTGCTAAAAAAAAATGAAATTGCTGCACTTGATATAAAAGTTAGATAATAAATATTGACATAGTATGCCTTTGGGTTTTTATTAGTAATAAGAGTTTCTAATATAAAAAGTAACAGAATAATTTTTTGATAATTATAATTTTGTTAAAGATTTATAACATAACTGATGAAACAAAGTGTTTGAATAATATCTTTTTTTACTCTAATAAGTAGTTTTAGTAAATCAGTATTAATTTGATAAAAAAAAAGATAGTTTATACCTCTAGGCTATTTTTAATAACAATTTACTTAATTATTTTTTTTGACTTCTGACTATTTGAAATTTTATTTCTAATTAATTGATTTAGGCACTTAAGAACACCTAAGTTTGCAGAATACATTAAATTGATCATTATTAATATTTTTTAAGTAATTTGAACTGAACAATGATGTATCCCCAGAAGATTAGCAAATAGAATTGCATCAGGTATCATCATGGCATCAACCAGTGATTTTTCACTTGTTTGGAGTATGCCAGCATAGAAAAATGTAAAATCAGGATCAAGAAAAAATATTAACTATATTAATTAGGTGTTGATAAAGAAAAAAATGCCGACATTAACCATTTTGACAGTTCTTTTATATTAGGCTATACAAACTTAATAAATTGGTTTTCATAACCAGCCAGGTCAAATTTTACAAAACTTGAAGAAAATATTTTACAGCTATTTTCATTATTCCTGGAACATCAGATAAAAATTAACTGAATGATGTTATAGTTAATTTGATTATGCTTATGATTTTGGCATGATTCATATAATAAAAGCTATATTTATGTGATAGACCTTCTAAATTTTTTTTCAATAATTCTCCAATAAAGTTGTATTGAAAGTATCATATTTTGAATTCAACCAAAATTCATTAATCATATAATATTTATATTAGTCACCTGATTTTGAATTACACAGATATGTCAATTTATTGTATATACAGTATTATGCCGAAATTACAAACATAATCGAATCACCAAAAATAATGAAAATAGGTGTAAGTATATTTACTATCTGGATGAGTTTTTCAAAAAAAAACTATAAAAAATTTTATATGTTTTTATATATATAAGCCAGCACATTTAAAATTTTTATGATAACCAATTTATTACAGCTATTTTCATAATTTCTGGAACACCTGCTCATTACCTAAAATCTTTTTGGTCATTTGGCAAATTACCTAACTCTCCGAAAATAACATCACTGCCTCCAGACTGAAGTTCTGAAGAAAGCGATGTAGTTTCAGGAGAGTTAGGTAATTTACCAAATGACCAAAAAGATTTCAGGTAATTAGCAGGTGTTCCAGAAATTATGAAAATAGCTGTAAGTTTGTATGACCTTAGTTATTTTAATAGCTTTTAATTATTTTTTTACAGTATGGTTATATGAAAATTATGTCAATAAATTACGATGATAGCTTTATCTATGTAAATATTTGTAAATTAACTAGCACAATCACACTTAACATCTTTCTGATTTTGAAAGGATTTCTTAATTTTTTTGTAAGTATATTTAAAGTTTAACAATAACTTGCAATGCTGAGGTTTGTTAGAATGCTTTAAACATATGGATTAATTTAAAACACAGAAATAAATATCAAATTATATTCGATATCCAATGGTGAGACAATCTCGTAAAGTCAAATTATCCAGTTTTATTCAGATTCAGGTTGATTCGGTTTCATGAATTTATACAACGCAAAATCGAATTTTCCAGTTTTATTTAAATTCGGGTTGATTCGGGTTTGCGGTTTTATTTAGATTCAGGTTGATTCGGTTTTGCGAATTTATTATAACCGCAAAAATCGAATTATCCGGTTTTATTTAAATTCAGGTTAAAGCTGGGTTCAATTTTGAGCAAAAGATTAAAACCAGTTTCTATAAATAAAACCGGTTCCAATCTCTACTATCCTATCTTCATAGCCCATGTAATTTTTAGTGCAGAAAATGCGTATAGTAGTTTGTTTTCATTTGATAGTATAATACCAAACAAGCATTTGAATTTAAAGATAGTGGTAATGGAAAAATTCCACTTGAAAAGATAACATATATAGCGAGTTTTTATAACTATAATTAACTTGCTATATTTCTAATATTTAATAATGGTATCACTTTATTATAGTCCTTCAATCATTGTCTTCGGACTATTGTTCCATTGATCGTTAATGAACAAAAGTTCATGGCTGATTTTTTTCACCTTACCAAAAAGGATTCAAAATTATCATACGATTCATAAATGTTTCTTAAGGATTTGGATGATGATGAAAGTGAAATGATGCATAAAAAACTTCTACTGTAAGCTATTATTTTGATCAAATATATATGGATATATCTTTTAGTTGAGAGTTCTAAATGGGTTTATTTTAAAGCGAGCACATGAAAAAACTATATGAATTATACGTATTTATTGATTATGGATGCAAGCTTGACGCAGCGTAAGAATATTAAGCATTTAGTTTATTAGATCTTTTAAGTCTATGTTAAATTTCTTACTAGATGTTCGTAAATTTTACATCAAAAAAAAATAGCCAAATAGTAGAAATTATTGTATCTATTGAAGAACTCATTAATGAAGATGAAAGACTTGACTACAATTATGTAATTAAAGTATTTCGAAATGTCAGAAAACATTGTCCTGAAATTTTGGAATGATTTATTGTAAGTATTCAAATTTTCTGATAATAGCAACTTATAGCATATATAATGTTCACATACATATTTATTGTTCAATTCAATTTGGCTAAATTAGAATGAGCAACTCAAAGCAATTGAAGATACTAAGGTTACTTCAAAGAGTTCAAAGAGTTTAAAGAGACGAAAAGGAATAGTTCTGTTTATTCGCATATTTCCGGTGTGTACATCTAGTTTTCAAGTTTTGCATACCT